TATTTCTAGAGAACGGGTGGCGTGATACTAGTCACGTGACCTCGCTGACGCAACACAGCAAAACCATATAAGTTGCTGTTATGCTAAACTTATATTAAAGTTTTTCTTCATTAACTATTCAAACCACCTCCAAGCATTATTAATCTCAACGTGGGTTCCTCATCATTGAAATGGAATTTGAGTGGGTAAAAGTGAGCATGTTAAATTGAAAATTAATTAAACAACTATGTTTTCAATTTATGTTAATAAACTTGATTTATAAATGCACCTTATAACTCAAATTTTATTTTCTTAATTTGCAAAAGGAACATAAATTCTCAGTTTTCATTTATCTGTGTTGTGATATATCAGAACTCCGATATCTACATTTCAGAATTTTCCAACTAAAAATAGTTTGCTAAAGCTTACAGTCAGTTAGAAACATTTTATGTTCAGTTCACTCCTAGTTTGTCTACAGAAAATACCATCTTTCTGATGCTCAAGTTTGGTGTTGGAGTGTTCGATTTTGAGAGGAAGGAGATTTCATGACCAAGAACACTGACTAGTCAGAAGTGAGAACTTTTTGTCATTAGTGGGTACATTTTTTCCCCTTTTTTGATTAATTTGAAGTTTGTCTAGCTTGTTTATTCATATATTGGATGAATGAACACTCAGTCTAAATACTTCAATAATAAATTTCATAATTTTCCTGACACCTGTTGATGAATCAGTTTTAAATTGAAAATACTACATGGTTAGGATGGACAAAATAAGAGAGAAAATACAAAGTTTTATTAAAAAAAAACAAAAAAACTTTTGATGTTAATGGCATTAATTCAGGAGAATGCTCAAACTTGTGAGTGCAGCTTATTTAGGAATGGCTTCAGGTTTTACTAGTGTGCAAGCAAGCTTATGTATGTTAGTTATCTTTTCATGGCTGTGGGACATATTTATAACCAGTAAGAAGAGCAGGTTCTCTTTCATATAAGTTCCCATTAAGAGACTCTCCAACCCCCCGTTGAAGTTTGTACAGTGATGTATAATAGTGGGAAGGTACAGGATATAGGTTTAATGTTATCTAATATAATTGTCACTTTACGCCTGAAAGTAAAAAAGTACCAATTCCCATTAATTTTCCATGTTGATGAATGTTTGGCATATAACAAGGATAGAAATAATGAAATTAAATTACATTCGCTTGAAAGAAAGCTATCAGCAGGATTATATTCCCTCATGTAAAGTTGCATTTCTTCATGAATTATTCTTTTATTTAATCTATGCAATATGTTTAATTTCATTGTTCATAACTAAAAGAATACGGATGAATCATGCATTCCCGATCAGGAAAATCAACTAAAGAGGTGAAATTCCTCAAGCTAAGTAAATTCCCTGGGAATGTAATATTTCAATCCCTCTATAACCCATAGACTTGCATGAAGAAGATAAATAAGAAAGTGACCCTTGGTTTAAGGGACACTAGGGCTGATGTGATAGCAAAGCCTCATTAAGTTTTTTCTAGTCAGTCTACAAGAAAATTGTGCTGGATATATGTATTAGGTCCTTTGAGCTTGTTACCTTCCAATATAGTTCACATGCAACTAGAATACCCACACTTTAGAGGAACAAATGACAGAGCTGGGTGAATATTGGAATTTGCTGATCAATTAATCACCATACTTATTGATAAGTCAGTTAACTGATTGTTTTCATATGAGATTTGATTAGTTGGAATAATCAGAAACTAATTTTAACTAGTTCATTATTTTCATTACTCATGACACTAATTGATTAACTCACTATGAATTTTCCTTTGGGTGGGTGAAAGTGAACATTTGACATTATACAGTGTTATATTCAAAAATTAAATAAATTCTATTCTATATGTGTGTCCATAAACTTAATGTAAAAATGTAGTTTATAAGTCAAATGCTGAAAATTTGAAAATTCTTAGTTTGTTGATTTGTGTCATGATTTGTCATAGCTTTAAGTTCTACTCTTCAGGATTTTCTCACGTTAAAAATAGGTTATTAAAGTTTACAACCAATATGAAACACAAATTGAACATGAATAGAAGCAAGAATTTAAGATATCTACCTCCTACTTACATGATTTTATGTAATATCAATAAATTTATCAAATCCACCAGAGTAAAAGTTTAGGTCTTAATGGAAAACTATCCAACGGTTAACTTTGTCTCTTGTAAATTTGCCAAAAACTAGAAAAGTGTACAATTTAAAGAGAATAAGGCAACAAATTTGTTTAGTTACTAATTTCATAATGCATTAGCATTGGTACATTTAAAAATAACTCTTTCTTGCATAATCATCATGAGAAGTAGAATAACAAACAACTATCCTTTCACACTGTTGTGAATTTTGTTTCATTCTTGCATTAGGCAGAAGAGAAGTGGATGATGCAAATGAGTAGTACATAACTTATATTTGAAATAAAACCAAAAAACAATGCAACATTGAATAAAATTAACAGAAATAGAAATCTACCCAAAGGAAATGAAGGAAAGATGCTTCATTATAATTGTTTTAGGTCTGTGTTATTCTTGTAAAACTCTGAACATTTATGTTACAAGCATGGTCATTACTGTTACAAAGATGAGATTTGACAGCACACCAGCATGCTAAACTAAATTATTCATATTTTTTGTTGTTATAAGTAAATTATTACATAGTTATAGGTACACTAATGCACTACTGAAGTGATATCACACCATGAAATTCACAGTTTTTGATTTTTGACAGTACATTTTCTGAATCCCCAAACTGATTACAGTATTAACATTAAGAAATATAGATAAATGAAAAGCATTGTGTGACAGTAAAAGTTTTTGGATATGTAAAGTTTTAAGAAAAATATAAATCATTTGTTTCATGTAACACCCAATTTAATTTGGTTCATTGTTTCAGATAATTACAGGATTTTTAAGATTGACCCTAACTTTTCAAACTGGATTAACAAATTTGCTACAGAATTTAAATATGCGGCTTAGACCTTGAAACAAGTCACATATGTGAAAACATCACAAGGCATAATTAGTTTTGTATAGAGAGATAATTACCTGTTATGATTTTTTATCGATATGTCTGTAGATACATCTTAAAATTCTGCTAGTTTTGCTATTAACAACAAAGATCTGTGTCATCCTACTGAGTGAATTTCCATCTGTTAAACAGAATCAAAATCCTGATAGCTCAAGTAGTTACCTGCACTTAATTATAAAGGTAATTTGCCAGATACAATCTATTTATTCACAATACCAGTTGATACAAGTCATATTTAATATACCTTAACATCATCAGTACAGGTGGTATTAGTGATGGAGTTAATGGGCAGACTTTACTAACTTACAAAATTATGCCCTTACCAAATATCTCTAAATAAGAAGCAAAGGTCCAAGCACTGACCCCTGAGACACTAGGAGCAAAGGTGTAGCTGGACTAGACTATTAATAACAACTGTTTGCTATTTATCATGCAACTGCCCTTCAGTCCATTTGACTAGTCTTTCTTCAACCAGTGTGATTTTCTAAGCTTATTTTGTTTTTGTCCATACCCTTTCCACTGTACATACAAAATAAGTAAGTCCTTTGTGTAGCTTTGTGCTTAACTACAAACAAACAAACAAAATAAGTAACATCCTCAAAAATAGGTAAAACTAGATTAGTAAGGCAAAATTTCTGTTTGGTGGATTCTTTTTGTCTTTCATTTGTGATATCAGATTTGTCAGAATTTAAAAATCTGATCTTTGCTAATTGTCAAAATAAAAAGGCTTTAGTTATATTTCTATATATACTATGTTGTTGGGCTTAGGATTATTCTACAGTAGGTGTCTGTGACTTGTTCATGATAAATTCAATAATGAACAAACAACACACACTTCACTTGTTTTCACAATAATATATATATTCAGAACAAGTTAACATATGTACAATAAATTCTTCAACACTAAAGATATTATGGAGATATCATAAACACTGTTAATATTTAATTCTCTCCTTCTTGTCAAATACCCACTTAGGCCTATTCAATTACTTTAGAATTTCAGTTGACAAGCCAAACTATTTTCTCTATTTCTATCGCACTAGTATTTTCTGTGGTTCACTTACAATTGTGGTGCAAGTTAACATAATTGTTTCATTTTCTTTCTTTTGAAGATCCTCTGCACTCAGGCTGATTCAATTACTTTAGAACCATGCTTTGATGAAATAAAATTATTTTTCTATCTTCATTTCTACTGTTAGTTTCACTCTAACTTATCAAATGTTAGGCGTATGTCAATCATTAGGCCTATCACTTCTAGTTACCTTTACACCAACTTTATTTTCTTTTTGCTATTATCTGTCTGCTGTTGACATCAATGAATTATTAAAAAAACTTCTTACAATCATCCGCTTTTAACTCTTATTATAACAAAAACTAAACAATAATAAAATATTCACTCACAAAAATAAATTGATCAATACTATCTGAACGAAACAGTCTTTTATATCATGACATCATTCCAATAAATGATTTTGTAAAGCTTCTTTTATCAGAGGCTAGAATTTTGCCTATTAAATATTTTACAGTATTTTTTCTTTTAACTTTTTATTCTCACTATTAAGCAAGTAGTATTTCATTCTGATGTTAATATGTATTTAAGTTAACTATTTGATAATAAAGAACCCTATTCATAGAAAACATATTTCTCAATGTCTCATATTCTAGATGGAATTTTGTGAAGCATGGGAAGACACTTGCTCATCAGTTGGCAGAGCAGCAAGGGTTGGGAGCTACAAGCAGTTGAAACAACTTGTTAGAATGGGGCGACCTGTTGATGCAGCTGATAACCGAGGGTGGAGACCTCTTCATGAAGCTGCTGCTGTGTCCAAAGATCTGCGATGCTTGGAAGAACTTCTTAAGCATGGTTTAATGTTTATTATCACTTCTTAAGCATGGTTTAATGTTTATTATCACAATATTTAAGTATTTTATTTAGTGCATAATGTTTAAAATGAAACCATTTGTTTATTAGCTTTAAGAATTGATTGGAATATCATCTGTACAAGAACATACACTTTTACTGAGCTTTCAATCATAAAATCATTCACTTTCACTAGAGCTTTTAGGCACTCAAATTACTTTTCACTTCACTGTCAGGCATACAACATGCAACTTCTCTGAGATTTTATTCATAAAACCTATACTATTACTGAGCTTGCAGTAAAAGAGAATGGATGTTGCTGGGGGATGTGTTAATGGTGTGTGAATAACAAATAATAATTATTTCCAAGTTAACAGTTAAATCAGTATCCTTAGCACAACCATACTGTATTCAAACATACTACATGACAAGTGGTCTCCTTTCTCAGTACAATGTGAATGGGCAAGTACCCTACCATTCTACACTGTAGTAACTATTCAAATGCTATATTATAAAGTCAACTTCTGGCCAGGATGATTTCTTATTATTTTACTTTACAACTGAGCAGTCACACATGCTTCAGAAAGCTCTGTCTGTTTGTTTACACTAACATGCTCTTAAGACAGTGTGTTACAGAAATATATTTAACGTATATATTAAGGTATAAAATAGTGGTGAAAGTTGTGTTTTTAATATTTTAATCTAAATATTTTGTATTATTCGATGAAGGAAGTTTTTGGATATTGCATAATGTTGATGTGTGATGACTAGAAGTTTCTTTAGTGTCTAGACTTGACATAGCCTCAAATCTTTGTAGATTTGGGGAGAAAATATTGAATAAAGACACAAAAGTGAGTGGTTAGGAGTTTGTTAACCAATTTGAGTTTATCTCATAGAGATGAAAGAATAATAACATAAGAAAAGCTTTAAGTATTACAAACATCACATTGAATTTTAGTTTGGATCTAAGTTGGTTGCTTGCTTTGATAGGAAGTTAATATTAATTGTAAAACATTCAGTTGAAGAAATATAATACCATTTTCAATAAGTGAACTGGACTTTGAGTTTTATGTTTACTTCATAATGGAAAAGAACCTGTCTAATGATAAAGTCATTATGATACTGATGTCAGAAGTATGATTATAAACTCTACACTAAACTTCAAGATGATTACTTGTGCTTGAAGTGATATTAGATATTTGAAATAATTAAACAGTGGAAAGAAGAACAAGTAGAAGGAGACAGAGCATTAAAAGAAGAGCAAGAAGAAAGAGACAGAAAATTAAAGGAAGAAGAAAGTTAGCAAAAAGTTAAAAGAAAACCAAGAAAAAAAAGGGACATAAGATTTAAAGAATTAAGACCAAAAATCAATTTAATTGAAGACAAGATCAAAGAGACTATTGGAGATGTGCAGAAGGATTATAACAGCAAAATTGAGGTATTACGAAAAGAGACTGTAATAAAAAAATTGCAAAAGTACAAAAGGACATCAGCAAAGTGCAGCAGAATTGTAATGGTGAAATCCACAATGTAAAATAGGAGATCAATTACAGAGTAAAACATCTGGAAAATGAATTGGTAAATGCAAGGATAAAACCATCCTCATTTCTCTCTGCATCCAGCAAAGTTTCATTCTTTAAACACCTAATAGGAGAACTCATTAGATACACATGTTATCACTACTGAATATGACCAATTCATGGACTTATAGTGAATGAGAATATGCGAATCAAGCTAAAGCAAAGCAAATTTATATTGCTAAAGTAAGCTGTCCAGTTGGATGAATCTTGAACCATTCTAAGTTGAAGATAAACATCTGATTTTACCACCCAGGAATTATAAACTTATCAGGTCAAATGGTATTAAAACATCAACTTGCTGTGTTGAAGATCTAGAAGAGCTCAAATGTTCATTAGACATCTGTTGATTGAGAAAGGAAGAACTTAACCATATGACAGAAGGTATTTTGATTGCAACTTAAAATGGCATATTTATAGGGACTGTAGACAGAAATATTATATTGGATAGCTGTTTACTCAGAAAAGATAGCAGAAAGAAACCGCTGTGTGTAAAACATAGGCATTACATCCAAGATTGTGATGAAAAAGTCATTGATATTTAACCAAGAAGAAATTATTTTGAGGATGAATATATTCCTTCAGCCCAATAGAAATAAGGAGTGTATTATTTAAAGAAACCAGTTTATGAGTCAACAGGTTTATTGATGGGAAACCAATCAGCATGTTAATCAACATTAGCTCTACATCTTTAATTGTTTGAGCTGATATGGTAATGAGAAATAGGAAAATTCCTCAAGTGATGAAGAAAGAAGATGGATTAATGGAAAAAAAAAAGTGGATATAAAATTCCAGCAAGAGCAGAGTTGGAAATAATCATCACTGTAGTAAGCTTCTTTACACGTAATGATGTTTTGTAATTGACATTGAGGAAGAGTGCTTATTGAGAATAAACTTCACGTGGAAACGTGGATCATGAATATAAGGTTTGAGTAGCTTCACAGTCTATGACAAGTAAATTCCCATACACTATACAACATCACCACCACCAAAGGTTGGACTTCAAGTGAAGTGCAACAGAATAGCATCCAGAAAAATAGGTGATCCACATCGATGGTCACCCCTCATGGTAATTTTGGGAAGGATATGGAAAAGAGAAAAGCTAATTGCTTACCTTCAGTCAACCTGCTGGACAGCCAAAGACTCATGTCAAGACCACTTTTAGAGTATCACCAATGATGGAGCCACTAATGGATTTCCTCGACTATCTTCCCATTCTGACTAGACAGCAAGTGATGATAAAGGACAAGGAGTCATTCATTTTTTGTATCATAACCCATGGAAAAGGAAACCACTGAAAAAAACTATTTGGTGAACGAACAGTTTAGAGAGAGTAAATAAGATAATGAACACATTTTTTTTGTTAATTAGAACTGAGATTGTATTTTGCAAGGGTAGATGTATGAATGTTAATGTTGTGAATTATAAAGAGTAATTTTATTAAGAATTATGGACTTTTACATTAAGTGTATTGTATTTTTTTGTGTAACAGGACTGTTCAAGGGACTTAACAATTCTGGGAGAAGGTTGTGTTTTAGGTTATGTTTTTAATGTTTTAATTTAGACATTTTGTATTATTTACTGGAAGTTTTTGGCATTACATGATGATTTGTGATATCTAGATCTTTCCTTAGTGTCTAGACTTTACATGATGTCACAAAGTTTGCAGGAGATCTTTGGGAAAACATATTGCATAAAAACATCAGAGTGAGTCAGTTAATGAGTCAACCAGTTAGACAGTGAGTTAAGAGTCTGTTAGTCAGCCAGTTAAACAGTGAGCTAGGAGTCTGTTAGCTGGTTTTGAGTTTGCATCATAGATATGAGAAGAAATTTAAAAAGTAAGTGACTGTCAAGTTTTATTTGTGAGTTATGCTTATCTCTTCATTATTATTAGTCCAGGAAGCTGTAAGTTTAAAACTTCCAGTCGAAGAAATAAGGCACATATCATTTGTTAAGTGGACTGGACTATGCATTATTTTTACCAAATGATTAAAAAAATCTGCCCAATGATAGAAGCTTTTACAGTAATAGTTATTAAATGAGATTTAGCCATATATGTATATAATTGTGACATATGTATAAATTTCAAATGAGTAAGGAGTAACTAGTGTCCAGTTTTTCTCTAGAATTGTAGGAATATTTATTTCAACTTGTTCAAAACCTGTGTTTTATGTATGTGTATGTATACATACATATATATATTCATGATGTTAGGAACACATGGGTTCAAAAAATCAATTTAAGACAACTACAAAACCCTGTAACCCAAGGGCTTTCAAAAGTTGGACCTTTCTTCATCAGGGGCAAACTGTGCACATATCTAAGAAAGATTTACCATTAACAGAAAACAAAAGACCTAAAAATTTCTGGTGATGCCAATGGAGTAATAATTTTTGTACAAGATTTTGCCCATAAAGCAGACGTGTATGACATTATCTAGAATGATTGATAGAATGTCATAAGTACAGTATGTTCAGAAAAGCTGTGTACGTTAACAGTGCTAATTTTTTGTAGGGGTGTATGGGACAATACTAAGCAGTTTTACTTGCATGTGTAAGACGGTTCTTTTACTTGTTTAGAAATTCTGGTTTTTTACATATTTTGATTAATTTTTCTTAATAAAACTAAAACCTAGGTAATTATTAACTTTGCTGTTTAGCGGGTATTTTCTGTTTATTAAAAATATGAAATTTCTCAGATTTGGATAAGTAACTGAAATATTTTCAACTATAAAGAATTTATAATTTGCCATTATGTAATCTGTAATTACTGTACCATAGGCAAAAGAAGGCTGCAGAACAATTGAGCTGATAAAGATTTCCCTTAAACAAATGTTAGTTAAAAATATAAGATCCTAAATTCAAGTCCTTGCATGATAATGTTCCCTTCTAGACATTTTACACACAAACATCACTATTATTAATAGCTCATTGCTCCTTTGTGAAAAAAAAAAAATTCTTAAGTTTTAACTTCTAAAGCTAGGTGGAAATTTATTGCTTTTATATTGGTTTAGCATAATTAAATAAAATAATAGAATGAATTATATAAACACAGAAACTTTGTAGTATATTGTCGTCATCTTTGTTGCTACTATGCTGTTCTCTGCTCAAGAAACTTTTAAGCAGGAGAGAATCAGTTTACAAAGCTTTGGCATTTGTACGGGATGTAAAGCAAAGATATCTGTAAAAGTCATTGTATTTTTTATTAATGTGTATGAACTGTATAATGCAAATAAAAATTAGCAGTAAGTAAAATAATTCAAAAGTTTAATAGTCTGCATTCTGAAGAATTTGTTGATTCTACAGATCTGCATGCTTGTATGTACATAATTTTATGTTTCAATAAAGTTTATTTTATTATACAAGTATACTTACTTGCTGTAAATCATTGTGCCATTACCACGAAAACACACACACACACTCAATTATTTAAGTATTCTCTGAAACAGAATTACTGTTGCAGTATTGAAAGGCCTGATATTCACCATACTAAATTTTCACTGAGAATTGAATTTTGAGGAGTAATTTTTTAATGTGAAAAGCAGCAAAATATCAGACCTTGTTACCCTTTTGGGAATAAGCATTAATTCAATGTGTTTCTTTTACAGGCATTTCCATTATAACATTTGAAAGGTCCAGATGGCAGATGGCCATAGCATCACAAACAACTGAATTAAGCTTTTAGCATACACAACATTACATAAGTATAGATCTTAATGAAGAACACTACCTAAGAATATTGGAAAATTTCAAGCATGAGACAATATGAATAGTTTTGTCTTAATGTTTTAAATTGCAAACAGTGATTGTATAATATTAATCTATTTAATTATTTAGATAATTTATGTTTGCAACATCTGTTATCTATAATAATATAAGAGCCTGTCTTTGTGTGTGTGACTGCCATAGATCCAAGAGGAAAGAACCTAGAAACCTGAAACTTTGCATACATACTAAGAGAATTATGAGGGTGTGCACCTGGGTATTTTTGTGTTTTTATGTAATAATAAAAGCGCTTGTTTGTGTGTGTGACTGCCATAGCTCCAAGAAGAAATAACCTGAAACTTCATCCACCTACTAAGGGGATTCTAAGGTTGTGCACCTGGGTATTATTTTTTTAGATTTGACTCAAAAAATTTTGTCCAATTTTTTGTGCTGTAGTTTTTTCATATATCCCTCAAGCTTCATAATTCTGATTTCCGAAGGTCCGTAGAAAAGTATACTTTTTTCATGTGACAAACATGTTATTAAACTTCTGCATATGTTATGTGGAATACCCATTATGTTTTAATGTGTTATTGCTGCTGGCTCCTTAATAATGGTTTAATGTATTTGTTTTTCAGTTATAATTGCTGCTATTGACATCACGACCTGTTATGTAAACATGCTGCTTAACCACTATTACCAACGTGATTTATGTAAACAGGCTACTTATTATTCATTCAGTCAAGCAAACAAGTCATAAAGTCAAACTAGTTAGTGTAATTGACTAATAAGATTCTACATTTTATAAAAATATTGGCAAGTGATCACTTAGTGTAAACAATTTATTACCAGTTTGGAAAATTATCTGGCAAGTACTACCACCCCCACCCTGTAGTATACCCTAACCTCACATTTCATATCTAATTGAAATAAATTAATTCTGTGAAATCAAGCTTGACCAACAAAGAGGCAGAAAAGTGCAGTCAAGGCAGTCAAATGTTGTTAAATTTCTTTGTGAGCCAATCAAAATTAAGATCATTCTTGAAATGAATTTGTGGTGTATTCATAATTATTGGTAAAAAATCAGTTAGATTAGCAGCTTGTAATATATAGAAAAGCCAGTATGTGTTTTGAATTGATATTATAACTTTCATGATAAATTTTATGCACTTGGTTCTAGGCTAGGTGATCCCACACTGTCTTTACTTTAGGCTTCTTATACCAACACTCACTACACTTGTAACTTTTCATGGCACCCCTCTCCCATCCTCCCATTGTCCTCTTGCACCCCTGTCACTAAAATCATAATGGTCAGATAGTAATCAAATTATTCTATCTGGATATATGCAATTTGACTTTTAAGACTCCTTCTGTTTTGAGAAATGAAGTGTGACATGACACAAAATTGGCTTTTATATGGGTTATATTCCATAAATACTCAGGGAAATGATTTTAATTACCATAAATATAAAAAACAGCCAATCACACCTCATGTCAGACAACAGGTACCCTCTTTATGTTATTAAAACTTGATTGGCAAACTATTGAATGGGAATTGGCTCGTAAGAAGTTGAACAATAGTACAAATAAAACATGTTTGAATAATGGCAAAGTTTTTTATTTGATTTTAAGCTCAATTACAAATGCTTTCCATGTATTCAAGAGGAGAAGAAAGTATACATTAACTATTAATAAAATGTACTTCAGATAGAATTTATAAGTTTTTAATTTAGTTAATGGAATTGATAAAATTACATTATTTGTCTTCTATAAAACAAAAAGAGCAATGAATTTTGAAATTGAAATGAACAGTATCGTTTTACTTTTTCATAAAACAAGTCATAAACTGTATACTTTCTTTAGCTCATGATTTATTTGTTTGCCTCATAGAATTGGGCACTAGGTGTGGTTGTTAAATATTTTGTGCATAAAACCTGTGGCTATAAATTAAAAATGGACAAAGTGAGTACTGGTAGTTGTGCATAAGAATGAAAGAAGCTTATAGTCTGTCTTACATCACCCCATTCTACAGTAGTAGTGTTTAAAAATGAAAGAGGCTTATAGTCTGTCTTACATCACCCCATTTTACAGTAGTAGTGTTTAAAAATGAAACAGGGTTATAGTCTGTTGTTTTGTAAAATTTTATTTATTTCTATCAAGACTTCTTGTACCTACGTGTTTTTCTAAAATTATAAATATATTTTATTAATAGCTAAGTCTGATGTTAACTGGCAGACTCACGAGGGTGAAACAGCTCTCTTGCTTGCATGTAAACGGAGACATGGAGAAGATGCTGCCACTGCTGTCAGGATGCTCTTGAGATATGGAGCTAATGTCAACATTTCTGATAATGAAGAGGAAACCCCTCTATTAGCAGGTGATGAACTTTTACTTCAAACAGTATACTAAACATTAACTAACTTGGAGTAAAATTGAACTTTATATTTGATACAAATGTGAAGTCATGAGTTTGCATAATATTTGTTATTCCATTTAGCAGGCTGTTAAGCTCAAGAAAGCTTTATAGGTCCCACAATGATAGCTTCCCTATGCTGAACTTTTACAGATAATTAATAGTCTAACTTGCACTGAGAGAATTGAAGTTTAATAATAATGAACGTGTATCACCAACTAAGAACTTATACTTAAAGTATGATCCCTAGAAAGAATCAGTTATTTAGTATATGTGTTTGCATCAGTCAGTTTATCATTACTTGTGCTAATAAGTAAAATATTGTTAATCAAATGTAAATATTGCTGTATGTAAAATCTGTATGATAGGATTGAAAGATCAACATGTTGAACAATTACCATTCTGACAGTTTATTGGTCTTTCTTTCTTTTACAGCTTGTAGAGCTGGTTCGACTTTAGTGGTCAAGTTATTGGTGGACACTGGTCAAGCTAATGTGAATGTGGGTGACTGCAGTGGTTGGCATCCCTTACATGAAGCAGCCACAACTGGAAATTTAGACATGGTGCAAATATTACTAGCAGCTAATAGTATGTTAGATGTACAGGATGAATGTAGAATGACCCCAATTTTCACAGCAGCACAACATGGGAGGTATCAGTGCTTGAAGATTTTGCTTGATGCAATGAAAGAAAGAGGTTTGTGCCAAAAATCCTTTTTTATTTCATATGCCTACATTTACCTAAGTACCAATCCCACCTTCTTGGTAGTCAGGTTAAAGTCCACTCTGAAGGCATAGAACATAAAGAGAAAAATGTTTAATTGCTTCATTGTTTTTCTTTAATAACTTAGAAATGATAAATATAATTTTGCCATTGGCTCAGTCATATTGACTTAAGTGGAACAGGTAGATATAAAAATTAGCAACAAAGACAGTTTCTAATGTCATATCTTACCTCCTCTCACAGAATAGCTTTTCCAGACTTGTACTGTCTTCTTTGTGTGAACATTTTTGTTTGCCACTAGCCTTGATATTCCCACCTACCCACACATGTTTTTACATGAGGCAGCTGCATGATAGCATCCAAATAAGCATATGATAACCCCCACCAATAGGACAACAACACAACTGGCACAGCTGACTCCCTCTATGCAGCTTAGCTCAAATTCACTTCTTGATTGGCACTCATGATGTTAAGACATGTTTTTCTTGTTCTTTCCTTTATGTAATTTTCAATCAGTTCCTTTTTTTTATGGAAACTTAATTTTTCTTTATGTTTGCTACACTTGTATTTTGCAATTGTTTGTTAGCACATGTTAGCATTACGTGTTTTTGATCATAATTCTTTGGAGCTCCCTGTTTGGCTTTTCTACTTCTACTCGTATTTGCCTTGAATTCTGAATTTCACATTACAACTATTACCACTGCTGTTTCTACTACAGTTACCTTACTTCGACTACAGTGGCTTCGGGTACACAATTGTACGTGGAAGATGTTATGGCCTTGGTTTACCAGGAGTTGATGACTTTCATGCAGGCTCTTGATTCACCTGATACCTGAACAAGAGGATGAGGATTTCAACAGCCATTTTCCTCCCCCTTCCTATGCCACACATTAAGCTCCAGTGGAACTACCTATAGGTTGACTGTATGCTTATAGGTTTGCAGACAAATTATATTCAGGGGTCACTGTGCCTCAACCCCCATGTAACATGGAAGCCCATGCTATGGCTTACCATAGGTCTGTGTTTCCTCTTTGGGACTCCCAGCAGTTGAATTATTTTCTACTTCTGTGGGGTTCGAATCCCAATGCTTTGGTAATGTTTTCCCATATCTGCCTCACATAATCCTCCCTCTTTTGTTCCCTTTCCTCAATTCAACTTCTGTCTGAGGCATTTCATTGCTCACCTGAGAAATTTTTGGTGGAGACTCATGCCTTACTTTTTTCTACATTTGTCTGTTTGTCCTCTTCTGCCCTTTTCCTTCAAACATGGTTCCGCTATTGTTAGAGTCTCTTTTGTTGGAATGTCCTTTTTTCCCATATGTGTTTACCCCCATTTCCTTATGGAACTTGCACATGGCTCTCTTTTTAAGGCAAGATGTCTTGTGGGTCTTCCTGACTCACTGAAGACCATAGTTGAGTTCACAGTTTGCACACCTCCCTTTCCCTAGTGGCTTCCCAATTTTCTCAACCTCTTCATTTGTCTCATCCTCTTCCTTCCTCTAATGCTACATGGGCTTCTGAGGTTAACCATCATGTCATTCATTGACAGCTTCAGTGTCCCCAGTGGTACTGGTGACTATGTGGTGGGTATGGGTCCAGTGGAGCCAGACTTTTGCACTTTGCCACTGTTTGGGAGTCCTTTACCACAGATCCTTGGGTTCTACAGGTTCTTTCTGAAGGGCTCATTTCAGTTCCCTTTCTCCCTTGTCCCTTCATCCCATATCCTTCCCATTCACAAGGGTGCTGTAGAACTGGGAGATCCTTCTCAGCCAGGTTTATTTTCCAGTTTGTTCATAGTCCCCAAGAAGACTGGAGACTAGTGCCCCATCATGGATTTTTCTTCCTTGAACTGCTTCCTATAAATTCCTCATTTCACCATGGAGTCCTACCTATCTATTCTATGGGCTTTCACTCCTGGTCTTAAGATGTCTTGGATGCTTATCTCCATATTTCAAGCATCCTGACATTTTCTTTGTTTTGTCCGTTGTGGTTAAATCTACCAGTTCCAGGCTAGGTTTGGCTCCCTACATTTTTTTGTTGAGTTGTCAAGGCCTTTGCCTGTATTCTCCATTCTAGGGGTCTTCAATTTTATCATTATATGAATGACTGGCTGCTTCTAGTTCCTTAGCATGCCACCTTTTCCCTTCACACTCATTTTTTCTTCAAGAGGCTGCATGGATAGGTTGGCTGGTCATGGTGGAGAAGTCATTCCTCTCCCCACTCAGTACCTTATTAATCTCAGGGTATTTTTCAATTTCCATCTCAGCCGGATCCACTCTTCTACTCTTTGCCTGTAATCTATGTAGCTTCTGGTTCAGACCATTTCCTCTTCTCCTTCTCTAACTGTATGAAAGGTTCTGTCTCTTTTGGAGACATGGGCTTTTTTAGAGACCCTAGTTCCCTCAGTTGAGCCTACATGTGTGACCTCTTCAGTGGGTTTTACAAGATAAATGGAATCTTGTTTGATATCCCTTGGATGCCACTCTTCATCTCCTTCCTTCATTTTATGTGGATATTGCTTGGTGGTTGGACAGAGAGAACACCATAGCAGGTGTTTCTCTTCCTTCTCCTCTGCCAGAGGTGCACCTCTTCACAGATGCATCTCTTTCAGGTTGGGATGCATACCTGGACACAGGAGATTTTGGGCCATTGGTTTGTCAGCGAGTCATCTCTGCATATCAGTATTTTGGAACTGCTCACTGTCCATCAGGCTTTGGTTCCCTTCCTTCCATCTTTCCAAAAATAGGTCAGTTACGATCCATTCTAACAACTCAATGGTTGTCTTGTACATCACTTAGCAAGGGGGCAATTGGTCGAGGTTTCATTGTTTTCACACAATGGGCCTCTTGTTTTGGACCCACAGCCATCACATTCACCTGTTGGCATGTCATATAACGGGACCCTGAATCTGGTTATTGATCATTTATCACCTCCCAACAAGATTCTCCCCACAAAGTGGTTCCTTGATCCACAGGTGTTTGGCTGGCTGTGTTCCCAGTGGGGTACTCTGGAACTGGATGAATTCATCATCCACCTGAATTCCAAGCTTCCCATGTTTTGGTCCCCAGTTCCACATACTTTGTTTGTAGCTGTCAATGCCCTTAGTCACAAATAGGGAGGCCTTTATCTCTATGACTATTCCCCATCCATATTCTACCTATGTCCTCTCTATCACACAAGGCACTCCGTGTTGTATCCTCTTGGTAGCACCTCTTTCACCAGTGCAGCTATTGTTTTCACTTCTCTGCCTGCTCCTCTTCCCTTCTCATCCACCCTCCTCAGACAACCTCAGTCTGGGTTGCTACATCCTTCTGTTCCAACACTGTTTTCACACGTGGCTTTTGATTGGTTCCTTGCCAGATGGGCCAGACTTTCCCCGTGGGCTGCTTCCCTGATCTCCCATTCCATTTGCTTTTCCTCCATGTCAGTTTAAAAATGTAAGTAGTATGTCAGCTGCTGTTGGTCTTTTCATCATGGTTTTCCTCCATCCCATCTTATTCTCCCACACTTGACTTCCTTCTTTACCTGGTTTTTTTGATAAGGGGCTTTCCATATCCACCATTGCTGGTTATTGTGTGGCCTTGTCAGCCACATTCTGTTTCACAAGATTTTGCTATGTCTTCACTTCTCCAGTTCTTACCCTATTATTTCGTTCCATTTGCCATCACCATCCTCTATGTCCTACTGTCCTCCCTGATTGGAACCTCAAAGTAATCTTCCATTCCCATACACTTCTTCCCTTTGAGCCCATGTCATCCCATTCCTTATATCATCTCTCCTTAAACACCTTTTTTCCTCCTCCTTTTGGTGTGTGATGTTGATGTTCCAATTTGTTTGCTCTTGATGTTTCTTGGATGTTATATCACAGGGTCTATGTCATCCTGTACTTGGATTGGTCTTTTCTGCCCAAAACATTGGTCTCATGTAAGGACAATTTTGCCTTTATTTTCATTTCCCTCCCTTCCATTTCTCACCTTTATCATCATTCTGATCTGTATCACTTCTTCTGTCCAGTCCGGGCTCTCTACTGTTATGTGGCTTGCATTGCTCCCTTCCTTGGTTCCCATTTCTGTTTGATCATTCATTGGTACCCTTCCCTTTCCCATGATATTTCTCCTATTACCTCTATGAGTTGGATTTGCCAGTTTATTCATCTGGCTTAGTCCTCCCTGTCTCTTGATGATTGTTATTTATTCTAAGTCTCCCCATCAAATCCATCACTATACCATGTCCTTGGCTGTCTGATTCATCATTCATTAGGGGATATAGTACATGCAGGCATATGGACTACTCCCCATACATTTATTTCACATTATCACCATTTCCTGCTCCATGGGTTACCATCTGCCTCCTGTAGCCATCTTGAAGTCCACAGTTTCACTGTGAGTGAGTAGGTGCTCTTTTTCTACTTTTCTTCTTTACAGGGGCCTTTCTCATATATACAGATCCCAGGTATACTTAAATCTGCATTGTTCAACCTTTCAGCTCAAGAATGCCCACCGTTGAGATGGAGTATTCCACAATACAGTTTGCAGGTTTTTCTCACAGTGTTTTGTGTCATAAATTGTTAGCCCCAGACTGTTCACTCATGGACTAACAGGAGTAAAACAGAAGGAGATTGCTGCCCATCCCTGCCGTTTCTTCATTTGACTGAATCAGGAATAGTTTGCTTTTCAATATAGGTTTTTTTTTATCTTTGGTGCTGAGTTTGTCTGGACTCTCCAACATACTTTCCCCCCTTCTTCAAGTAGAATACAAGAGTCATTACCATTTACCAATTTCTAGCTGCTGGGATGGTAAACCATGGAGGCTTCTTCCTGAGTGTGCTCAATTCCACTCAGTTGAAAGTAGGGTGGTGATGTTCTGCTACTGTAGATGGTGTGTAGACACTCCCACCACAGACCTGATGTACTATTCCAGATATCACCTGGTTATGAACCAAATAATTTCTGCCAAAATGCAGTTCACTCCTCTGGCTGGGTATCCTCTTTACTATCATTGCCTGGATGTCAGTTCCTGGGGGGTACTGGTGTTTGTTGGAGCTGGACCAACCACACAACTCCTCACATGTGAGTGGCCCAGGTACCCTCCTCCTACTGTGGACTGGATGATTCATTCCTAATGCTGCCTGGTTCTGGACTGGAATTGAACCTCCACATTGCTGTATACCTTTTTACCATTGTCTGGATGTCAGTTTCTAGAGGCTACTGGTGATGATTGTGTTGGACATATACGCATGATGGTGCAGTTCCTTGGAATGGTTGATTTTCTTCCCTTACAGTTCTCATGTCCAAGGTGAACAGTAGTGAAGCTGTCATGGGCTAGATATTCCTATTATGGTATTGTTGGTCCCTAGCCACCTACACCAGGGGTCCCTTTATTTAATTTATGGGGTTCCTCCTATGTTTCTGCCCTTATTGTGACACATCATTTTCATGGTCAAAGAGTATACCTGGCTCAGAAGTGGTGTGGTCTCCCATGAGTGTATCTTACATACTCTATTCACACACCCCATAGACTTCCTTTGGGTGCTTTATGAAGGGGGCTCATCTAGGTAATATTAGGCCAGTCTCCCTCAAGTCATTGTGGGATTCTAGTTATTTTTATCTGCACTCACACTTTCTCTCCACTTCTGGTTTCTTCGTTTTCTGTTACTCAATCTTGAAGTAAATTTGGGCTAAGCTGCATAGAGAGAGTCAGCTGTGCTAGGAGTTGTGTCGTGCTCCTGTTGGTGGAGGGTTGTCATATGTTCATTTGCATGCTATCATGCAGTTGCCACACATGAAAACATGAGGGTAGGTGAGAATATCAAGGCTAGTGGTGAGTGACAATTTGTGCATATAGAGGGCAGTACAGTTTGGGAAAAGCTGTCCTGTGAATGGAGGTAAGAATATATTGGAAATACATCTTCACTGTAGGAAAATGTTAACATACCTGCACTTTCTTATAAACTGAAACAGCAGACTGATGCAGAATATTTGTATTAGCTAAATTGTGTTCATGGTCCTGCAAACAAAATGTAAAAGTGAAATTACTTGAAATATAACAAAACTTATAGAATAACATTTTTTAAAATGGGAAAACTATGTGAAACTTTACACTTGCATTCTAGTGTGCTACTTCTTGGAAATGTTTAGATATTAATCCTTATGAGAGATCACTGGTGAAAAGCCATGTCATCTCGTTTGTTGACTTGCATTAAAAATTTTATTGAACTACTATTTCATGAATTTATGTCAATAAGTTT